CGTCCGGAATGACGTTAAGCTGCCGGGTTCAGAGTCCCCCTGGGCATAGCCCATTTTGGAGGGTGGCTACCCTCTAATTATTGCCTTCTATTTACTGTACTTTAGCCTCGGGCCCCATGGGCGGATGCCCCGTCTCTAGGGCCCTTCCGTGGCTGGTTTATTCCCTAGTACTAACCGTCTTCCCCTGTCTGCATCTCTGGTATCCTACTACCACTCTTGTTGTATAATGGCTCCTGTGAGTTGCCCAAGGAGGCCGGTTTGTTGCAGGAATCGGGTGGTGAGTTTCGCGTCCTTGTCGAGCAGGTCTTTCATGTCGGCAGGCTGCACCCTGCGCCATACCCGCTTGCGCAGGTTATTGAAGTTGGGGCACTCTTGGAGGACATGCCGGACAACACCAATGGCTCGGGTCTTCCTTCGCGTCCTGTGCTTCCGTGTTGTGTGCAGCCTCCACCGCTTCTTCCTTTTCTACTATTACTATCTGGAGCTTTCTCTCCCAGGATGCGAACAGCCCGGGTTGGATCACTTCTCTCTGCATCAGACCCGGGTCTTCCTTCGTTTGGGCTTCTTTGAGCTTCTGTAGGGGGCTGAGCAATCGGTATTGCGCTGATGCTTTCGCTCCCGGGTACGTTCTCTGTCGTATTTCCTTGATATACTCGTAGTGTGGCGATGCTTGGATTCTGTTCAGGCCAGCCTCGCAGGCTCTGCGGAGTGCTATTTTGATTGGTGGTATGTGGAGTTCAGCCTCAAGGGCGGCCAGTGCCGTCGTTCTGAATGCCCCGCTGACGTAGCATAACGCCCGCTTCTGTATGCTGGCTAGAGATTTTTCGATTTGGTTTCTCTGGGCGTTGAAGCCTCTCCCTCCCTTCGGGAAGTACCAGCACGATGCCGCGGATAGGATCTTCGGTATCATTGTGGCTTTGTAAACCTTCCTCTGTTTGGCGGACGTGAAACCCCCAGTTGGATCCTCCCAGTTGCGCTAGTGCCTGCAGTTGCTTCGACGCGCTCTTCTCTAGGTGCTGTAGGTGGTGATTGTCGGTCATTTTAGAGCTGCTCTGCACGCCCAGGTAGCGTACGTGTTGTTCCGGTTGAATGGTGTGTACATTGCCATTAGCTGTCCTAAGTATAAGGGCTTCCGAGTCTGTTTGGTCTGCCTGGGCTGGGGGCAAGTTCGTCCCTGGTGTTGCGGTGTGGGAGGCCGTGTGTTCGGTGTGGCCCTCCGCCAGCGTTGTCGTGTTTGTCGGGGCTGTCGGTACCCTGAGTATTTCTCTATTAGTTAAAGTGCACATTCACCCGATTTACTCTCAACACACGTCCTGGGCTATGTGTTCCACGAATGAAAGTGTAGTTGTGCTGAAAACGGGGTTGACTCGCTTTTCGGAGGTTTTACGTTGTTATTTGCAAAAAAATTTAAATCAAATGGTATTAAATAGCATTGTTAGGAAAAATGTTTTCTTATGCTTAGAAATTCATTTTCAGCGCAATGCTAGGCTCTCCTGTTTCTTTCCTAAGCACCACCTGTCTCTTTGGTCCTCCTTCCATGATAACTAATTCCAAAAGTTGTCTTTGCTCTGCACTGAATCCTGCAACAGTTGAACGAAATACCTCTTGCTCGACCGAAGCCCAGTGTAAGATACCGGCGGCAATCTCTTTGTATACCACGCTGCCTTCATTCGATGCCCTGATCAGAAAGGTGGGTAAGATAAGCGCCATGGCGATAGGCACTTTCGGGCGTTCAACAGTGAGTACAAAAGATGTTAATGCAGATGTTATCAATGAACGACTTTCTTCCAAGCCCTCTGTGTCTGAGGGCTGCGTTATGAAATTGATCAAATGCGGCAACAACATCGCACCAAGCGCTTCGTCTGCATCAGATTTATCTTGCATGAGAAGCAGGCTCCTCACACAATTTGCTGCAATTTTACTTGGGATCCTATTCTCTAAACAGTCAATCAATTCAGCAGCAAATCGCTGAAGGAGGATATCCTCGGCTGCAAACAACCAGCTCACGGAGCTAAGAAGGATGGTGCAAGCTAGTAGTGCGTTCTTCTCGCATTGAACCGCAGTCTCAAATTCTCTTTGCTGGGCCTTCTTCAAAACAGCTAGAAAGCGAGCCAACGCACTTCGGAGCTGTGTCTGTGTCTCTGGCTGCGGAGACGATGCAATACTGGTTAAAAACCTTTTGAGTATCGGCAAGGCTTGCGGTACGACTGCTTTCTGGCATGAAGGAGTGGCTAGGATAGTTGCAAATATATGAAGGATACACGCATGTAGGTCTGTCTTGATGACAGTGGGATAAACAGAAGATGCATCCACCAGTGCTGTAAGTGACTGTGAAAGTAATGCAATTGCCTCGTCACTCAGTTCGTAGCGAACTAAAAGTCCATCAGCGATGATAGCCAGAACAGAATGTCCTCTTCTTGACTCACCTCGGGACTTGTCCTCGGTTAAGTTCGTCACCAGCCCGGCCAGCACTAGCACGATTATCCTAGTAAGCTCAAACATCTGATCAATATCATCGCTTAAGTTCTCCTCCTCGCCAGTGTAGCCAATCCTTGCACTTGGGTGACCTAGGCATAAGTTTCGAGCTATCTCCACGATAACAATTTGTACGCTCATTGGCTCCGTCAGTACAAGTCGATCAAGCATGTCCGTTAGCTCAGCAAAAACAACTTCACGATAAATGGCTTGACCAGAGACTGATGGTTTGAGAATCTTCTTGAGCACATCCAAGACCTCGAGTATCTGTTGCGTGTTGTTTTGCAAGTCGCCGCTTTTAGAGCGAGCGATAAGTGCCTCAAAAGCTAGGCCAAAAAGCACAAAGAAGAACGCAACCGGCTCGTCCCGATAGTTTATCTCACTCGACTTCAGTCTTACGGATGTGTTGGCTGCTGCCTCTGGTTCCTTTGTCTCCTTAACTTTTCCGTCCAGGGCATCGAACACGAACTCGCTATCTTCGTCAATGAGGCTAGCGATAGCATGAACAAGTTGCAGCCAAGAAGCCTGATAGAATTGCAGCAAGGTTTCTCGATTGAGTGCTGCGTAGATAGAATCCAAGTTGCCGCTTATAGTTGCAGTTCCACTCGTCGTGGTAGAAATATCTGGTTCAAATCTTAGACGCGAGTACTCTTTGAGGCTCGCTAACCAGAGAGGCGTCAGCTTTGCCATGTGCGGTTTCATCACTTCCTTAAGATATGGCTGCTCAGCACTGGCAATTTGCAATTCAGCCCAAGCGGAGAAGACAGACATCTTGACCATTACTAAAGCATTCGAGCTCAGGCCCTTGAGGTCGCCAATAGCGGCATTTTCAGACTCATTTGAGAAATTTTCCAAAGCCGAAACGAGCAGTTTTAGAATTCTTCCCATCCTTTCCACATCTTTCACAATGCCCGTCGAAATGAATGTAGCACAAACGTTGATCGCCTGTGCGGCAAGCTCTGGGCTCGAGTCAGCTGCAAAGGCCGGAGTCAAGGCAGAGCTAATTTGAGCTTGATATTGCTCAAGCAAACTCGCCTCTGTGAAGTCTGGATCTGGCGTTTTCCCAAACAACTTGAGGATTTGATCGATGATTCGGAGCCCACGAAGGCGAAGTTCGACGACATTGGCGGTGGAAGCCGAAAATGATATGCGTACAACATCAGCAATTCTGCTTTGCAGTGCCTCTTGTGAAGGAGACTCTTCACTGGTCGCTGCATCGCGCGTAATGGTGCTAATAAGATCGTATAATAGGTCCATAGCGAATGTTCTGGTCTGCCACTTGAGGTATTCTTGCGTCGAGCCACCGGTGGCTGGGTCACCTCTATTTGCACTGGCGGCAAACCCGGCAACTTCTTCGTCTTGCAAATTTGCGTGAGTGTTATCGATTTTGAGATCTGCATTTTTAGCGGCCGCATCTTCCTTAACTGTAAGCTTGGATAAAACAGCATTGCATCTCTGAACCCAAGTTGCGGCATCGGACAAGCCTGTTTGATGCATCCAATTGCGCATCATGTTTTTGATGACTTCCTGGTCAGGTATGGCATTGAGCATTAGCCAAAGCTTGTCTTCCAGGCCTGGATCAGCGATCCCCATGACCTCCTCGGCGTTTCTTCGCATTGTGTTGTATAAAGCATCGATTGCCATGTTGCGTATTCGCCACAAAGGCGAGTCAAGACAACGCTGCAGGCTCTTCACATAGGCGGAGGAGTCTACGTATCCGGGCGCATAAAGCGACAAATGCTCCCGGCATTTCAAACTTTCAACCAGCACTAACTCTTCATCTTCAGCCTGAAACTGGTCAATCAATACCATTATAAAATCTCTCGCCTTTGTTGAATCTTGTAAGTCGGGCCCGAGAACGTTGATGATGCTGTCGATACATCTTGCCACAACAGCTGGAGTTGGCAGTTCAAATTCAAAGTTTGATGACGATAAAGCAGACGCTTCAGCATTATGTGTGTCTTCCATGTATATTTGAGCGGCCAGTCCAAGCGTGCTGGTGACGTGCGGACCAAAATTCAGATCAGCAGAATCGGCGACGCGTGTGATACTTTCCAAAGCCCAAAAATGCACGGCGGGATGCGGATCACTGCTAAGGGAATTGAGTACACTCAAGATTTTTTTGAGATGAAAACTCGCTGTCATGCCGCCTAGCTGTGCGTAGATATTGCCGAGCGCAACGGCACATCCGCTTCGTGCAACAGGGTCGCGATTTGATATGATATGCTCGATGAGATCGTCAACTTCTTTGACAGTAAAGGCATTACCTGCACTTCGACACAAACGGCCCAACGCTTGCGCAGCAATGTTCCTAAGATATTGATCAGGACTCAGCAAAAAGCTGCGCAGTAGCTCGCGCATAGCTCTTGCCACACCTTCGCCATGCAAATCACCCGGAGCGAGGCAAGTTTCCTTTACGGCCACTTTGAGCGCAGAAAAAATGGCTGTTGCGATGTTAACGCTCATGGCTGCCTTCCTTGCCGGGTCGCGTTGGAGGTCGCTAGTGGAAAGAAATGAACTTAGCTGCTCTAGCATGCTTTCCTGTACCTTTGAGCTCTGAAGAGGCAGACTGGTAGCAAAAAGCTGTATTGCCGCGTCGACAACCTGAGTTGCAAGAGGATGAGGAGGTTCTCCTGGTTCATGCAGACCATCTTTGTATAAAGCGAGCGAATCATGCTCTGGCGCACCACATGTGGGCTGTAAAAGAGTCTGGTCAATGTTCGCTTCTAGGCCTCGTTTTGTGATCCAGCACTGCCTGCTGCCTCTATCAACCTCTCCAGGTAGGGCGTCCATGTCGAAGCCGTGTATCAAAGCAGTGACTCCGAAGCCGTAGTTGTCGCCTAGATCCCAGATGCTCTCGAAAGTACCCGCAGCGCTCGCAATCGAAGCGCTTAAAGATGGTGCGTAATTTTCAGGGTCCGCAAAACATGAAATGGCCAGCGGTAAAAGACCCGACTGTAGAAGCACTTCAGTACTTCCTTCCGGCCCATCGATAAGCAATCGTGTGTAGCATTGAAGAAGTCTCCTACGAACCATTAGATCAAAGTCGAGTAGTTGTAGATTCCGCGTTAAGTTCTGTGATGAATCTTCAGTTGTTTTTTTGCTAGGAATGTTATTTAGAAACATGGCTGTATTTTGCAACATGGCTGCAAGCCGCTTCGTCACATCAAGAGTCAGTATGCGGCTATTGTATTGAAGAAAAGTAAATATTGAGCCTAAAGCGCATTCTCTGACGTGAGCAAGAAAGCTCAACTCCAGAAGGTTTCGTGAAGATATGTTCTCCTTGTTCATAGGTTTAGGCAGAGCGTTTTTCCATAGAAAGAGTAGCTGCGAAAGATGTATTTTGATGAAATTCGGCCCTAGGCTCATCAGGCCGCCGATTAAAATGTACGCGACTTGTATCTGTGTGCTGGAAACCCTAAGATCTTGGCTTCCGCTCGACTTGAGTAATGTCATAGCTTGAGTAAGTACACGAGAGTACACATCAATCGATCCATATAAAGGCTGATAAGTCGAGGTGCTGAGAACTGCTGACAGACCGTTCGCATAGCCCACACACCGCCTAGGAGAACCTCGGAGACTGCCCAGCAAAGACAGCTCACGATTGACACTGTTCATACATATCGTGACTGTGGCTAGCAGTTGTTGCGGGCAAGCGGACACGAAAGCTCGTAAGCAATACGAAGTGTGAATCTGTACCGTATAGCTTGGATGCTGCAATCCCTGAAGCAAAGCGTCTCTGATGCTTTCGGCGATGCTTGAAATAATCGAGCCTAGGGATTGCATCAAGCTCGCCAGTGCACTTAAAGCGGCGGTCAGAGTATGTTTGTTTGGCTCTGGCCGCTCTTTGATCGCTTGAGGGTAGTCCTTTAAAATATCATTGACCAAGAATTTGGCAGCACTAAGCTGTGCGCTCTCGCCGAGGATCTCCTTACCAACGACGTCCTCAAGAATCAAGCGGACAAACTTTCTCGTGATGAGCAAGCGGTAGCGGTTATGTGTGATGCTCGGGTAGCCCAGCAAATACGAAAAGAAGTGGCGGGCGATAGCAGGATAGTTTTGTTCAATAATCTTCGCTCCGAGCCCTCTTAGGGTTTTGACATAGCATTGGGCTAGCCCAGCTCTTGCCCGATTACTCGTAGCCGGCTTTGTGTAATGATCGCCGATTTGACGTAGAAGATCCAGGAGCGAAAATGATAGCAGCGTTGCAGGCTTGCTTGTTACAGGCGAGTCCGGTCTCTCAGTGTCCTCCTCGTCACCTTCTGCCATGCCGCCAGCCTTCTTGATGCTCTTCTTCATTTTCTTGATTCTCGGCAAAGGCTCAGTGCTCGGTGTTTCCGAATAGCTCTTGATCAGCACGGCAGCATAGCAGTTTGCGGATGCTCTCCGCACCTTGGGTGATTGGCTGTCAATCGTCTTCCAAATGGCATTCTGAAGCTTCTCGAAGTCGTTAGAATTGTCGAAAAATGACGTGTGGGTGATGAGGTTTTCCAGGCACAAGCAGGCTCGTGCCTGAACGAGTAGAGCGCTATCCTTGCTGCAAGCCGCTCGCGCCTGCTTCCACACATCCCTCGCCATGGCTTCGTCGGCTGACAAATTTATGCCGACGAATAGTCGTCCGAGAGCCTCTAAGAGTGAGGCTCGGAAGCCCGTGTTGTTCTGTGCCTGCTTGATGCCTTTCAAGAGAGTAGAACATGCGAGCGAAGCGAGGTTGATTGCACTGTCGCCGGCAGCTTCGTACACAGCGCCGAGGCAGTGCACGGCAGCGTGTCTGAGGGTGATTTCCTTTTCCTTCCCAGCATTGATGATTGCTACCAGCTCATTTATGGTTTCAAAAAGCAATTTACGATCTCCCTTTGCGAAGATGCCTGCGAGCGATCGGCCTAGGTTGTTCCGTATCACTCTGCTTGGTGTCGGCGACGACAAGTTCACAATCTTGAAGACCTCTTTCTTAATGTAGACTTGGTATGCAGATGCACTATCAGCGTCAAGATTGGAGACGAAGCGAGCAAGGTCTGCCGTAAAGTTGAGAAGATACAGCCCCTGCTGCTCAGAAGGCAAGCTGTGTAGTTTCTTTGTGTCGAGCTCGGGGTTAGCGAAGGACACGCTATTGTCAGGAAGGGAGGGGGCACTGTCAGCCATGACGCGAAGACTGCTATTTGTGAGTTGCAGTCAAGCGTAGCCTTTGTCGATCGCTGTGTCGTTACCATAGATTTGTGGGGTCAAGTTTAGAAAATGTGCGTGATATGATTGAACAGTAATAGCTGTGTCAAAGGCCGTCATCGTGGACCCGACGAAACTGGCAAACCACACAGGGAACTCCGCAATCGTCCGTGCGCAGGAGTCCGTCCTAAAATAAAGATATTATTTAATGACGAAATTGAAGCCCTGACTTACAGCAAACTAATTAACCATCATCCTAGGGCGACTTGCCATTGGCCCTGATAATTTAACACATCAACTAAAGTCGGGACGTAGTGTCCGGCATGGAAGTAGTTCTGCCACACGGATCTAGCAGTTCAGTCAGATTCGAAAATATGTTACAGCAGCGCTGCACGATTGGCGATGGACATGTACGTAACAACTGTTCTGCCTGCAAATGAGGTGCGTGACGGTGTTGAAGAACCTTGTCCGTTTCACCAACACGTCCATGTTTAACCTCTAATTCAATTTAACCCGCTCACGCAATCTACGAGCCAATCGCTCGCCAAGATCGTAATATACAGCGGCAAAAGGACAAACACAGCGCAGACCAAGCAGTTAGTCCGTTCTCGACGATGTTTCTGGCTTGAGCCGGTTGTAAAGAATGCAGTAATTAAAGCGGGAAATGAGGCCCTGAGAAGACTGGAGGCGACTGCTCTACCTGTGCAACATTTGGTCGGGGAAAGAGGCCATGAATGAGCGATGTCCGCAGAGAGATGCCCTACGTGGCCTACAGAATTAATTATTATCAACACATGAGCGTGAGTGTGGGCCAAAAACGTGCCATCAAGGACTGAAAGTTGGGAAGTGGAGGTGAGGATGGCCCATGCGTTTGGAATAACCAAGAAGCGGGAAACTGGGAAAGGTCTTCTTCTCACTTCCGAGAAAATCAAAAACATAAAACGTAAAAAATGTTAATGCACATTCAAAAGATCGAAGAGTAGACTCCAATCTCCAATGACGCAATGAACAGGATGCCTACCCCGAGTCGCTCGTTGCTACGCTATCTACGAGGTTTCTGCTACACTGACGCGCAGTCGAAGAAGACATTTGAAGGCTGCTATGCGTTCAGCACCACAGTCGTCGCTGCGTCCGGACACAGCAAATGGGCAACCATCAAGCACGATAAGGCCAAAGTCGACATGAAGAGGAACAAGCAAAGGTCTATGTTGGCTCAGCAAATAGAATTGATGTCTAAATGTACCTTGCTGCCGTTCTTTTCCAATCTCATTCAGCATCTGCCTCTAACTGAGATCGTGGTTCAGTGTACGGCCCAGACCTCGATGCGAATCCTCGCCTCAAGACAGTGGTTGCGGATGCCAAGCGTCAAGGCCTCCCCAAGGATGTTCTCGAGGCTGCCATCAAGCGCGGCCAAGGCCTGTCAACCACCGGCAAACCGCTCGAGAGCCTAACCATCGAAGCAGTATTCGCTGGTGGCGTTGCAGCTATCATCGAGTGTAGTACGGAGACAAAGGCTAAGACGCTGATGGACGTACGGAATATATTGACCAAACATTCGGGCAACCAGAGCCCCGTGCAATTCCTGTTCAAAAGACGAGGCATAATCGTGTTGAAGCATCCGTTGCCTGAAGGCGTCACAGTTGAAGGCATTATGGAGTGCGCGCTGGAGGTTGACGGGTTCGAAGACATAGACGAATGTGACAACGGGACGGTAGAGCTTGTTTCAGAGCCAAATGCTGTTAGGGCAGTCGCCGACGCGGTTGTCGGTAAGCTGGGAGTGGACATCCAGAGCTTGGAAATTACGTGGCAGGCAATGGACCTTGTCGACCCACCCCCAGATAATGCTCTCTTGATCGAAAGTGCTGTAAAAAAGATTGAGGAGATGGCAGAGGTCCAGCAGGTATATTTAAATATGCGGAGGGGAGAAGGCGCAGCTGCTCGAAGTTAATGGCACAAACCATCTATGTCGCCTATTGTACAGAGCTTGGAGGAGTTATTGTACATAACGTAATTCACCACCAAGTCGCGCACCCCACCAAATCGCGCAGCATAACAGCCATCAAGAACTTTAAAGATATATAGAGCAACCATCAAATAATATACTAGTGATATATCTTATATTTCATACATTCTGAAGCTAGACGATCATATCCACGACAAATATAACATGTAATTTGCGGTGTTGCATCTGTAACTGGCGCTTCAAGTGATTCTTGAGCCTCCTCAACCATTGCTGCTGCCTCGCTATTTTCAGTATTCTGAGACTGTTGAATAAGCTGAGTAGCCTGAGCACAGTTAAGCTGGTAGTCCTGATTATCTGTCGTCTTTTCAATTGCCTCTTTTTTTTTCTGTCGTTCCATTGGCAGCCCTTAATCTCTCATTCTCTGCAGCAAGTAGGACTGCACCTTGCATAGATAGCTCACAGCCTTTTATCAATTGTTGTATTGCCCGATTAGTTGGTGTAGGTGGACTATGTGATAGTCTCTTGAGTGGATCTTGGACTGCTCATATATGCTGAGTAAGACTATGAGGAGTCTCAGGTATACATTGCTGACTCTCTGTAGGTGGAGGATGAGGTGGTGTGACCGGCCTTAAGATTGTTAATAGGACTTGTTCTGGGTTGATTGGGACAAGGCCAGTAGCAGTAAATCCGCTGTAGATATTGCCGAGTGAAAATGCCTCTGATCGAGCTGTTTTCAAGAATGCAAGAAACTCAGGTTTGTCAATGTAGGTAATGCCAAGCCTCATCAGGTTTGCTACCTGATTACCATATACCTGTTAGGAATACTTTCCTGATACCGACTAGCTTCACTAATGTAAGCCACTTCGGAAGGGTTTAGCTTCCTAGAGCAGAGGAACAATGTATAACAAGAGCTTATTGTGGAAGGAATACAATAAGATAGTTATGTTTATGACTTAGAATAGTCTGAGCTTCAAGAGTATGAGAATGTATTCAAACTAACTACTA